CTAGCAGCAGGCTGTTTTCTTGTTCCTCCATAGTCATGAACAAAGAAAGTTTGTTGACTCTTGCTCTAGCAGACCTTGTTTACCTGACAATCCTGGGGACTCAAGAGAACAAGTAGAAACTAATAAGCTTCCTGGGCCCTAAGAAACTTGTATCCATCAGTTCTGCCACACGCTGGCAGCTAAAGCAAATTAGAAGGCCAGCCCAGATCTACAGGGAGGGAAAGAGAACCCATGTCTCAGTGGGAGGAGCGGAAAGTGATATTTCATAGAACATGGGTTCAGACAATAGTGGAGGATTCTTGCTGTTTTCACCAGTCTGTTCTAATGGATCACATAAGAATTGCCTTCAGCTTAAAAGAATTATGGTGGAGTAGGTGGATATATTTAAATATCTCATTAGGAAGGCCATGAAAATCTCTGAATGACTGTTCATCACAAATGCCCAATGAAAAATTCCTTGCAGATTTCTAGGAAAAAGACATGTCCACCATCATGTTGCAAGAGATGATCTTTAACTCTAGTTAGTTATGAATATAAAAAACAGATTCCTAGGAGAGTCATGTGGATGTTAATTGTTCACTACAGAAACTTAGAAGACAATTACAGCCTTGAATATTCTGATTCCAGATTTATGATCTGGAGAGGATATAAAAGCAAGATCAAATAATTTGTTGAACTCATCCAAGTGGCTAGACTATGGGGACAAATGGGCCCAAATGGAGAATGGTTCCGATACAAAAAAACTTCACTCCTAGTCCAGTTAACATTCTACACAATGATTTAGGAACCCATGGCCCTTTCATCCGTAGCTCTCCCCTCCCTAAGATAGGATTTCATCCTGCCAACAGAAAAGGAGAAAAGAATGTGGAGGGGACTCATATTCTTAAGTCTTGGTTCAAAACTGACACATGGTATGTCTTATCTGTTGGCAAGAACTCATCAACGGATTAACCTAACTGCAAGGGAGGCTGCAATACAAGGTCTAGCAATGCACCTAGAAAGAAGAGGAAACAAGCACCTTAGAATTAGTACCATCCATCCCATAATCTTCAAATATTCATTTGCATCCTTCCTTCTACATATAGAACACACCCATATAGATCCCTTCACAAAGGAGACCATCTACAGTTTCCTAGCTACTGCTTTTACAATCTAAAATCTCTGGATAAAACTGTCTTGACTGTAAGGTGAGGATACAGTCTTCTGAGGTTGAGACAGAAACAGAGACAGGAAGAAGGAAGGAGAAAGGAGGCAGAGGAAGGAGGAGGAAGAGCAGGGGAGTAAGGGAAAAGGGGAGAGAGAATGAGAAAGAGAACATACAGCGATAAAATTGGGTGGGGATAAATGCCCCCCAAAAAATCCCATTCAGAAAAGGGGTAAATGGGCAATGCACAGCATTCACCACAATGATAAATTAATCCTGGGAAGGTTGCAGTTAAGAAATCGTGGTCTTTGACTCTACATCTCTATTCTGGAAAGATTTCTGCTGCCTCTTGTTCTTTTAAAAGGTTCTTCTTGGCCCACTGCTCTCTATGACCATCTGAAACAGCCCGTTGGAGAATGTTACCTGCTTCAAGTGGTGGGAGGACTTGAAATATCCATAGCCTACTTCCTGCTCATATGTATTTGTGGGTCCAAATATAATTTTAAGGTCTAAATAGTCAAGGAATTTTAAGACTAATACCAAGATTTCTTTGGCATGTGGCTCCCCCCACAATTTGGTAGCCCTCTGGCCAATTTACATAGAGTCAGTTTCATGTGCCAGTGACCACGTCTAATGTCGTTTCCTAGACAGAGTTCTCTAGGTTTGTTCCTTGTTTTCCTAGGCCCTGTAAGGACAGGAATTTTATCTTGAGCCATCACTACATACCCAGAATCCAGGACCCAATATTTACTTGTTACAAAGTAAACTGAAACAGGAGATAGTAGACTACAGGTTTCATTCTAGTTCTTAGGCTGTCCGGCTGGTAGCTTTTGAAAGTCATTTTCTTTATATTCTAGATTATTTTTGTGTTTTGTTGGATTTTGCACTTTTGTGGCTGACATTAAATTCTTACATTTATTTTCACTTTTATAATTTTTCTCCTAATCCTCAAAAAAGAGGAAAAGACTGATGTTGATATATAAGATTCCATGAGAAACCCACAGAGAGATTTTTTAGGGAACTCTTCAAACTACAGTTGCTTTGCTAGTAATAAGATTTGTTAAATGAAGCAATTGGCATCCAACACAATGTGATCCATTAAACAAGGACTTTGCTCAATGCCATGGTGTTTTGAACACAGCCTACTGTAAAGAGGTGATATATTTGAGAACCTGTAATCACTGGTGCACAATTTGAAAGGCATCAGTGATCACATATTTTTCAAAATTTGCTCTTTGTAATGATTGTCATAATATGTATCATATCACAAAATATCCAAGGAGCTCAAGCTGTGCCATATACAAAAGTGACTCTAGAACAGTGATCTCAGCTTTGTTGCTTATTAGAGACACACAGAGAGGTGTTTAAAAATACCCATGCCTGGGCCCCACTCCCAGAGATCCTGATATAAATGTAATGTTAAAACCTTCCAGTGATTCTAATTGAATCACTGCTTTTAAAAGGGAAATGCATAAAAGACACTTTCTTTTTAGTTGCTGTATTAGAGCCAAGAAAAATACCCCACCTATGTTAAAAGGCTTTCTATAATTTTATGTTTGGAACAGTCATGGCCTTCATTGGTCACATTTTTGGATGGCAGCTGCTTGCTTGTGAAGAGGGTCGGAATGGGCAGTGAGGGTCACTTTAAATGAAGCTCCTTAACAGCCAAAGCTGTCACCCTGCCCTTTCCTCGACAGCACATCATGCTGGTGCAGCGTCAGATGTCTGTTATAGAAGAGGATCTGGAAGAATTCCAGCTGGCTCTTAAGCACTATGTGGAGAGCGCTTCTGCCCAGAGTGGGTGCTTACGGTAAGTGCTTCTGGCTGGGTCCAGCCCTTCTCGTCCCGCTTTAGATGAGGGTGGGTCAGGAAGATAGAAATTTGAGAATCCTCAAGTTAAATTATGCTGAGGAATGTAGTCCTCGGGTGAGCCCCCTTTGCAGAGTTTGGGTGTTTGTTGTCTGATCCTTGGATCTTAAGGTGATGTAGAGACCCCAGGAAACATGAATGGAGAAGAACAATTTGCATAAAAGAAGTTTCAGGTAGATTGAAATTCCCCCTTTGGCATCCAGGTAACAAGCATTCACTTAAAATCATGTCTAGAGATGAGGTGAGACCTTCACTCCATCCAGCCTTGATGGCGGTATATCTCATGGCCTGATGACCATTCTCCCGTTATGAAATTGCCAGAGGTCTCTAAAGCCGTAATTTCAGATCTTATTTGATAAAAGCAACAGTAACTCTTTCCTCTTTCCATGGGCACCACTTAGCTCAGGCTTCTATTATCTGAGGCTATAAAAACATACTACACCTCTCATGAAGTTTTTTTCACTCCAACCTCTCTAATAAACAGCTATTAGAATAACTTCCCAGAAATAACTGAAGAATTGCCTTAACCAAGACCCTGCAGTGACTCTAGTGATTATCTTACCAAATGCTAGATGTTTATCGTGACCCTATATTCTTGCTGCCGGCAGACCCCAGAATCCGTGTTATTGTTACTATTTGTTCCCCTTAACTAAACACTCTTCCTCATGTACAGCTAGGGGTGATCCAGCATAATCTGCTCACTCTTACTGTGCTTTAGAGCTGGACACTCTCCCTTTGAGAAATACGTACCCAGCTACAAGTCGCTGTCAATTCCAGAATCCCACCCCACATTCACCTGCATTCAAAAAATTTTCAGAACTGTTACTGGTCAGCATAGATCCTTGCTTTAGTAGATATCGAAATTAAAACTAAAGCACAAATTGGCAGGAAAAAGCTTTAATTAGAAAGTAAGGCTGGGCATGGTGGTGCACACATGAAATTTCAGCTTTCAGGAGGCTGAAGCAGGAGGATTATCTTAAGTTCAAGGCCGGTCTGGGCAACATAGTTCAAAGCCAGCCTAAACTACATAGGGAGATCCTATATCCAAAAAAATTAAATAATAAGATGGTACCTTTACCTTGAGTAACTGAGAAAAGTCAGAGAAGCCCTTAACAAAAGAGAATTAGAAAAACTAAATAAAAGAACTCTGGCTTCAGCATCTAGAGGGAGCACACTTGGATGAAGGGGATCAGACTGGCCCTAAAGTGGGAAGGCAGTTTCTAAGGATTAGCTGAGATGGACTGGGGTCCATTTGATCATTCTCAGTCTGGTTTTATAGCTCTGATATTTGCTTGGCTTGGGGGGTGCTTGTGTTCCTGTGAACTGGTCGTCTTCTCTGTGGTGGTTTCAGTCATGTAGGGCTCTGCTTTTCCTGGAAACCAGGGAATCACACGGTTAGAACACTGGCTGGAGGCTTCTGAGGTGAACTAAATGTTCCTGTAGATCCCTTAGCATGGAGTTCTCAAGTCTTCAAGGAAGACAGTATTACACAACCTCAGTGCTGATCAACTTTGATTTGCCAACCTTTAAACAGACACTTCTAAAATGATTAACAAACCTGCACACCCAGCCAGGAAGGGATTTGACCCAAAGTTTTAAGTTAACAAAGGATGCAAAATGAAGATCACTCTTTGCTCTGCTTTTAATTACATATTGGGCATCTGGAGGCCCAAGTGAAAGATCACATTTTTTAGCAAAAACTGCTTGTAAGTTCCGGACTGCCTTAGGAAAAAAACAAAACAAAAACATAAATTACACTTCTGATAAGCAACAAGCAAAGGCCCCAGAAGCCTGGCCTTCCCTGTCCCTACAGTGGATTCTGACTATGTCACAACCAAATCTACCCTTATTTTGTGAGGCTGTTTCAACTGCATTTCCTAATGATCTTCAAATGTTGCTTCCGGAAAGCTCTCTAACAGATGTGCATTTGTGTTGGTGTGCATCTGTGTGTGCATAGAAACACATACTTTGTCTCTGAGCGCTTTGCTCTTTTCAGTGACTAATTATATTTTATTCAGACTACAGCAGTACATTACTCCAGCTAAGAGGCTGGAAGCCTCCCATCCACGGGAGAACATGAAACATGAGCCAGGGCCACTGCCGCATGTACGAGGGCTCCCTGGTCGACTTCCTCTCTAGAGTATGAGCATTTGCTCAGCACCATTTGCAGGGCACATCTTCTCAATGGCGCCTTTGTGCTAGGAACACAGGAATTGCTGTGCTGCCATTGTCCTTGTTCCACTTCCCATCAGCTCAGAAGGGCACACATTAAACGCCCATTGTAGTTCTTTTATTTAAGTAAATCAAGAGGGATTTACCAGAGCAAGAATATATGGAGTTTTTTAAAGTCCACTCATTTAAAAACAAAATTGAATAGTTGGCAGATGCAAACGAAGCTTATTTATACCTTTCACAGTGTAAACTGCAGAAAGAAGTAAACTCTTTCATGGTTAGTGAGGACATAAAGATGAAGTCCGTTTCAGGGCTGATGAGAGGTTTTATATGTATAAAAAGAACACAAAAGTGTACTTTTCAAGGTTCACAAGCTCCGCTCTCGTGTGTATGGGGAACACGCTCTGAAGCACTAGCACAGCCCCAGAGGGAAGGAAACAGGCTGTTGGAGAGGAAGAGAGGAGATAGATTTGTGCTGTCTGCTGCAACCTCCGTCCGCCCATGTCTGTGAATTGCTTGGTCAGCTCCTGCTGTTGCTGTGAAGCGGAGGGAAGGAGAGAGTCCTTTGCTGTAAGATAAATAGACTCGCTCAGCCTCTCCTTTTCTTTCCAAGACTGGTTTGTTTCTTAATGGTTCTTCGTTCACATCTGATTGCTGAGTCTCCAGCTAGTTTCTGTTATGGAATGTAGAGTTTATCACGTGGAACGAGCATTAGAGAATCACCACACACAGATGGGATCTATGTGGAATAGATGTAATGCCACTGCATCTAAATTCAATTTTTCAGATGTACCAATTAATCAAATGCAATTCTCTACCAGAATCAGTGGATGAATGGCCAAATGTCAAATGCCTTTGACACACCCAGCATAATCACCTTGTCCTTTGCTCATAGAATAAAGCTCTGGGAATTGTCAGACTTTTGGCTAGCTTTGCATCACCGTGATTAGACACAGAATTCTGCCATAATATAAAATAGTAACTGTTGAGGATTTACAAAATCTATTTTGCATCCATTTTCTTAGTCTTTCCAACCACTGGCAGAGGTGTAAATTATGTCTAGTTTAGAAGGAAACAGGTTTGAGTGGGTTACACAACTTGCTTACATTTATCTGACTCCAAAACCCATATCAAATCCTTCCTGTCAGTATTTGGTCATCCTTAAAGCAGAAATTCCTGGACTTTCTGTGGTTAACCAGGGGTAGAATGAATAAAATTCTTCTTGTCCCAATTTCAAGACAGCCTTGCTTTCTTAAATTGAAGCACTAAATTACAAAAGTTTTTACCTTGTAAGTGATTTGATTAGAAGACTCAGAATTTTTTTCCAGTATGGGGGATTGAACCCCGGGCCTTTGCATTTATATGAATATATATAATATCACTTTCATATATATCATCACGTTTTCATTTTTTTATAATTTTGAGATACGGTTTCCGTAAATTGCAAAGTTTTCCATGCTGGGCTCAAACTTGTGACTGCCTGTGTCTACCTCCCAGAGTGCTGGGATTACAAGCATGTGCCACCATGCCAAGCCAAGATTCAGAATTTTGAGAATTTTTTTTAAAAAGTTTAGTGAAAAACTTAATTTGTTTTGTGAAAAGTGATTTGTTTTGTGAAACCAGGAAAGGGGCAGGCAATATAGATGATGAATTTTTTCAGATTCGTAGGAAACGTTCCATTTTGTTTGCTTCACCTTAAAACATGTCTTGCCCACCACTCTAAATCTCACATTTTTGAGACAGAGTCTCACTATGTTGTTCATCATTTGTGTAGACCAATGTGTCACACACACACACACACACACACACACACAATTTCATACTAGATTTCTTTCTACAAATAACAAATTTACTATTTACAGTAATTTATAAATATTAAAAATGTACTGCTTCCAGTTTTGGAGACTGGAAAATCCAAGATCAAGGCACCAGCAGCTTCAATGTCTGTTGAGGAGCTCTTCCTCATAGACGGTCCACCTCTTTACACCATCACCTTGGGGGTTGGGCGTCAATGCAAGAAGTTTGGACAACATGTACTTTCAGACCAGGGCTATCCCTAATACTTAGTATATATTTTCCATGACTGATGCTTCTTTTTTGAGATTTTTTTTTTTTTTTTTTTTTTTTTTTTTTTTTTTTTTTTTGGTTTTTCTCCGGTACCGGGAACCGAACTCATGACTTTGCGCTTGCCAGGCAGGCGCTTTTGCCGCTGAGCTAAATCCCCAGCCCCTGATGCTTCTTTTTAAACTTATTTTGTTATCATGAAGGCTTCTTTATCCATTTGGCAAAAGGAGCTAACTGAATAAATGTGTTATATACAGTGTGTTTTCCGAACCGTAACTGACAGGAGAAGGAATAGTTTTTGCTTTCAAAAAACTTAGAATTTAATTGTGGAAGTAAGATGCTGATGAATGAAGGTACTAAGCTATTTAAAGTTATGTCTTGGCCTAAAATTTCACAGCTATTAAAATGATTTCTGAAATCACTCTCAGCTCTGAAATTCTAGAACTTGAATGTGTTCAAAACTTCATGTCAAGGGCCTAGGGAACATAAACGTGGATTATATTGTAAGAAAGAACCCTCACACTTCCTTAAGAATTGCTGAGTACGGTGGCACACGTCTGTCATCCTGGCACTCAGGAGGCTGAGGCAAGAGGATCACCTTGAGTTTGAGGCCAGACTGAACTAGTCAACCCCAGCTCATAAAAAAAATAAAAAAATAAATAAAACTAAGGGGAGGGGCTATTGAATCATTAATCAGAAATCAGTATTTATACAGGTAAAATAAGTGGTGGTCAGAGTTTAGTGTGAAAAATGTGAGGACTGTCCCTCCTTTTGTGCCCTTTCTTCACAAAAAGGTAAGCCTCACTAATTAAGGCAGGGCACACACAGGGAAAGGCAGAAGCCAAAAGGAAGAAAGAGTCCTGTCCAATTTTCATTGCACTAGCCCCCACCATTCCACAGACCAGGAAGCTGAAGGAGAGTAAGGGGCCCATAGTGACACACAGTGATACAGCTACTAAGTAGCAAATAACAGTTCTGTTGGGTCAGTCTTTAAACTACCACCATATGCCACCATAATATCCTCTTTAATCCTTCAGAAGTTTGAATATAATGCTAAAATGTTGTGAATTTCTCATAGACTTTCAGCTACTCGGGAAAATGAAAGATCGAGACATATAGTAGTGGGTATTTAATGTAACATAAATTAATTAGTTTGCAGGAAGCACGTGATGAAGACCTTAAAATGCTAGGCTGAGTATTTTAAATTTTATCCTAAAACAACCGCACATGGACCAAAATTTGACCATTACACTGTTTGGTTACCTTTGGAAATTACAGGTTCGTTTGAGACTGTGCTGAGAGATGTGGATTTTGTTCCCTGGAGAAAGTAGATATGCACAGTAATTAGCTGATCATTTCTGAGATTTTAAGGAATCCATCAAAAAGCTCATCCATGAACTCTTTGGGATGAGATCATCCAAAGTCGACTTTGCAGTCAATTCTTATGATGTTAAGAAAAAGTAAAAGTTGAATAATAATACTTGCTACATCATGCCTTAATGAACCAAATTAGATAAACAACTATGAAAAACATCAAACTACAAAGAACTAAACAAAAACGTATTAAAATTCCTGTGGATGGTTACTGCCACCTGCTGGTCACACTAAGGTAAATTCCAAATCTACATTAGTCCACTACAGTATTTTAACAGTAAAATCTTTATTGTCTGTTAACTCAAAATCCTGGGTTTTTTTTAACCTTTTACTTCCCTTTCTAATCTGAATATATTACTGAACAGTTGGCTGAAAAGCTGTCCTTTCAGAATTAAGTTGTTAAGGCACCTTTATCTCCCAGGCTTCCCTAAGTTTATGCCCCCCTGCCCCTTTGCTTCAACATGGACTTGGACTTTCATCATCTCCCACCTAAGCTACTCGCTGCCTGCCTACTTCTCCTGTCTGCTCTGTGTGCCTGTTCTCTGCTCATTCCCCATGCAGTCCTCAGCAGGGTCCTTTAAAACCCAGCTCCAGCCATGGTACTTTCCCTGTTCGAAATCCTCTAAGGGCTCCACTGCTACAAACTTTAAGTCCACAAACTTCACCTCAGCTTGTACTTTGGGCCAGTCTCCTCTCCTCGTGCCTCCAAAATATAGGCTTTTAGGTACCTCAGCATAATCAAAAAACTAGAAGGGACAAACCTGTCTTCCTCAAATTGGCAGAGGAACTTTTACAAACAGTAATTACTGCCAGGATTTGAACTCTCAAATTTGACCCAAAGTTGTGTCAGATGTGTGTGTTCGTGTGTGTGTGTATGAAAGAGAAAGAGGACCACTATGCACCAGCATACTAGGAGTCAGTTTGCAAAGCAGCAGTATGATCCACGTGGCCCAGAAGGCATAGAGCAGAGCACCGGACAAGCTGCCCTGCGCAAATGGAGAAAGGTCGGGAACTTGACGTGAGCTGCAGTGGTTGACAGGACCAGTCCATGGAGCTGCATCTGAGAACAAGGGCAAGTGTGCAGACTCTCATTTTTAGGAACTCTGTTATGATATTTTCAATAAATCAAACAAATGAGTAAAATTTATGGAAGTTGTATTTGTGACATCTAGAGTACGCACAGACTGCATGATGCCAAACCAGAAAACAAAACAAAATTTATGCCAAACACACAGACATTGAACTAATCAATTCCTGACAAGCCTATTTGATTTTCTGCAGCAACTTAGGTTGTTTCCTATGTGAGCAAGTATAAACCTCACATCACAAGTGAAGAAGTTGCTAGTTGCTTCTTTAATTTCCAGGGGCTCACCAGGCCTTTTCTTTTGCATTTCAGTATTTCAATACAGAAGCTTTCAAATGAACCTCGCTACATAATTTATGAGTTCTGGGAGAACAGCAGTGTGTGGAATAGGTACGTTATGAGCAATGCCGATTTGTTTTGTGAAACCAGGAAAGGGGCAGGCAATATAGATGATGAACTTTTTCAGATTCGTAGGAAACGTTCCATTTTGTTCACTTCACCTTAAAACATGTCTTGCCCATCACTCTAAATCTCACATTTTTGAGGCAGAGTCTCACTCTTGTTCAGGCTGGCCTCAAACTTGTGCCTAACTTCCTGCTTCAGCCTCCCAAGTCTTGAGCTTACAGGCACGCACCACCATGCCTGGCTGCTGAATCTCACATCTTTAAGAATTTATTTCATGGATTAGAAATCACTTCCCCCTTGAAGCACAAATACCTTGGGTACTGATCTACTTTGAGTTAAGAGTATTTTACTGATGCTTTCAAACAAATAGAATTAGATACAGGTCATGCGTATCTAAAGAACTTGAATGTGGTGAGGATATAGAGCTTTATAAGCATAGCGGTTATTATTTTTAGAGTAAAACTATATATAATGGCTAAGATACTCATAACTTTCCCACGTCTTTAAACACTATAAATAAAGGCAAAATTCAAGACATTATTTGGCAAAAATAAAACAAGTCAATTATAAAATTTAAAAAATGATTAATAACTAACAAATTTATAAGTGAAAAAATGGGAGGAAGAAAAATTTTGCTAAGATTATACAACATTCCAGATGGTTTTAAATAATACAGAAAATATAGCTTTCCAATAAATCAATGTTTGGGGGTATAAAATATGACAATGAGAGCTAACAGAACACCTGTAACTTATTTGATACACATTTTACTTTCAAATTTCATTTCGTAGCTTCTAAAAGGTACTTGGAGGGCCTGAGGAGCACAGCTCAGTGCTAGGACACTTGCCCAGGGTCTTGAGGACCCAAATTCAATCCCCAAGTTCAATTTCCAGCACCAAAAGTGACAGGGGGCACTTTGTGTAAAGATAAAGGCAAACTGACCCCAACTGTACCACAGGCATAGACTAGAGCCTTGAAGACATCTGATCAACCTTATGCTTCTAGGCCCACATCTTAAGATAGATGATTTCTATTTCATTTTATTCTAAAGGAATGGAAAATGTACAGTCCCTTTTCTTGGCTGTCCTATTTTCATCATTTCTTGCTGAAATTAAAGTCTACCTTCTATTATCCTGTGTAGAATTAGTATTCCTATCTTAAAAGATTTTTTTCTTAATTTCTGATGACCATTACTAAGTTATCCTTGAGTCTTTTTTAAAGATAGATAACCATTAAAGCAAGTCTCTATGCAGGCAACCAAAGAATACAGATCAACCAAAACCTTGCCATTTTGATTTAATTTCTGCTGTACCCTACTTAGGTTGTAAGTAAAAATGTATAACCTTAACTTGTAATCATTTATACAGCCACCTTCAGATGAATTATAGCAAGACATTCCAAAGAAGTAACGTGGATTTCTTGGAAACTCCAGAGCTCACATCTACTATGCTAGTTCCTGGTAATTATTCTGGGTTCACAGTGCTTCTGCGAGTTTGTATATTACCTGTTGTTTTTAAAAAATAGTATGTTCTTTCCCCATAAACATCAGTGATACTGTTTCTTTATACATTATTAATTTGAAGTTTTGGAAAGGAAAAAGAGGTATTTATTCTTTTGCGTTAAATCCTTAGTTGCCCCTGTTTATATTCCTGGCTATGATAAATGTACCATTAAAACTTTGCTGGTCACGCTGAAAATTTTAATGAACTTGTACAAGTTAAACTGTAGTATTCTGAAACATTTTTAAATCTTTTACCACATTGAATTTAGTATATTGAATACAATTTGAAATGACTGATGTTGATTACAATTGTTAGACATATTTTTCTTATAATAGCTGCTAATATTTATAATTGGAGGAAATAAGAAAGGAAAGAGAGCTTTGAAATAAAATTGCCTAAAAAATCTGGCCTAGGCAGAGTTTAAAGTAATAAGAACCAAAATTCTTTTGTTCTTCTACCCATTTATTTACCAATAAATACATATGTTTACAGAGTACTAAAATGCACGTGGCCCCAGGTTAGTGATGTGCTCAGCCTATTCGAGCTGAACTTCTAAATAAGCACCATGATGGAAGCTAAAAGGGTACAAAGTAAAAAATGCAGCCCCTACATATAAAGTTCCATCTGTCCAGTTTGAAAAGAATACTTGCACACTAAATGTTTGCAGGGAAAAACAGCTCAAGGAATAAAATAGTTGCCATTCAAAATAATATACATCTAGTCTAACAGTTAATCTAACAGTTTTTATGGATGAAGTCTCAACTTCAAGGTTGAGAATGTCATTATGAAGGCATTTGAAGAGTAATCTGGAGTCACTGAAGATTTTGAGACAAATGATGACATGCTCTAATTAGTAACTGACAGGAGGGACAAAGGCTGACAGTGAGGGGAGATTAACCAGGCAAAGCCAGGGAAGAAAAGCACAGAACGAGGAGCTGGCCAAAGAGTTTGGGACTCTACCAGGTCTGGGCTTAAGGAGAATATATGTGGGTAAGAATAAAATATCTAGGAGAAAACCTTGGGTGCCTTTCTATAAAAGGCTGGTAGATATGCAAAAGCCTCCCTTATTAAGGAAACTGAGGGCCACCAACCAGGTATCAGTACAATTATTTAAACACAGAATGACCCAAAATTGCATTTTTCATTAATTTTATAACAGGAAATATGAAAATGACAGTTTGATCAAATTTATTCAATATAAGAATCAGCCCAAGTGATGTGCAGAGTAAGCTGTTAAGTGGCTAAAGGCGAATCATCAGAGAGTATCAAAGAGGGAAGTGCAAGGTACAGCCCTCCTTGGGGGCACTAAAAATGGTACTGAAAATTGGATTTGACAAGATTGCTGATCAAAAAAAGCTTTAGTAGAGTGATGGAAATTTTACATTGATGGACTGGAGAACAAATAGAGGAAGAGAAAGTAAATTCTGAAATTAAAGCCATATGAGAGGACAGGATGATCAAGTGTAAAAGCTTTCAAAGTGGTTGACTTATGATTTGAGCCTGAGCTCTAGTTGAGGACAGGTTTGCCTGGCCCAAATGGTAGACTGGTAGAATTTCTCTGCCTGATAGCTCAAATTTAATCCTCAAGTAAGAAAACAATGAATATGGCCGGAAATTTCTCCAGGTTCACAATTTGACTCATGCAGTTTATATTAGAAGCTACCATAGCTTAAGGAAGGTGTAGGTGAGGGCAGTTAGCAGTTATTAAAAAACACACGTCTGACATTGCCTTCCATTCATTTATTCAAGAAAGTTTTTACTCAGCTAACACTGTTCTAAATAGGGAGAAAAGGCCTAGAGTATAAATTATACACATATAACCACTTCAACCTGCATACACAGGATAAAGGAAAATGAGACTGATGTCTGTCACATGCCCATATGACTTCTAATACCATCTCATTAAGCTGCTTTGTGCATTTTTGTGTTATATGGCTGTAAAAGTTAAAAAGGAAAAAAAAATTATTTTGGCCTAAAATGAAAAACCTTTTTAAAAAGCAGCTATCATATTTAGAAACACAGGATGGGTAGGTTTTTATTTTTAATTCAGAAATTAAGATTTGTAATAAGACTGCTTTACCTACGCTACATCTCAAAAAAAAAATATATAAAGCAATTAAGCCAAACTGCATCCAGATATAAAAATATAAACTGAAATGTATTCCTATAGTTCTCAAATCTGAAAAAATCAGTCAAATGAAGCATACTGGGATATAGCAGCCCAGGCCCATTAGCCATCCAGACAAGAGGTGAGAACTCCATTTGTGGTAGAATATCCCCTTGGATAAGAAAAAGACCTGTGTTTATAACAAAAAAAAAAAGATACACAAGAAAGTAAGTTCCTGTTGCAAATTACTTAAGCTGCTTTATAAGCAAGTTTTATACCTTTCCATTCCATTTGTCCTTTCCATTTGTCCACTCATCAATCCCATCAACTGTACTTCTCTACCATGTTTGTATTTGGGATATTTATATTCATGGGGAAATTTTTTCAATGTTAAAATACAGATACACTGAAAATATTATTCACAACACATCCTCTTGATTAAACCCAATCTTCCTGAAATCTCTATACAGAAGTAACATATATATTTCCTAACTACTGCCAGTAGTGGGTAGCTTAAAACAACAAAATGATTTCATCATTAGGTTGTTTATAATTTCATTGCCAAGATAATCCCCATTCATAATAACAAAAATCTTGAACTAAAGCATGCCCAAAGAGAAGGTACACAAAACAATCACGTAGGAAGAATTCAATCTTGTCTCAGATAGTCTTGAAACAGTGACTAAAACATAATTATACAGACCAAAGGTGGGGCCAAGTGCCTCTTTACAATTTGGATTTTCTTTGTCCGGAAAGTTGTTTTCAGTATCTCAAAAAATGTTTTTCTCTTTGCAGCTTCATGGTGGATTCTGAACAACTAGATTCCTAGACATTTTCATTATAGTTTCTAGTGCAAAATAAGTGTTCTTATCTAAAGTGTCAATTAGAAAATTTCTGTGGTTGTTTATTCTATACTTTTGTTTAATATATTCATTCTAAGTGCACTCTTTTAAAGATATTCTGTAAGTTTATTATGCGTGTGAATTTTAGCTTAGTTTTCAAAGGTCGTTATTCTCAGTATTTGATGCTAAATGCTTCATTACATTGTAACCAACCTGAAACATTTAGTAACAAAACTCTAATATGATAAAACTGTATACATAGAAATAAAATAGTGAAAAAGAAATTATGATACAGAAAAAAATGTTTAACTAAAAACTCAGTGCATTACTTCATAGGACAGATATTGTAAACACTATCAGTGTTTTGTGATATTAGCAACCAATCTTCTGTGAATGAAGCTTGTTCTTCAATAATGCATACTCTAAACACGCAATCCTATGATTATTCTCTTTTGAACATAAAACAACCTTGTTTGTAACCTATCTGTATCCATCTCTGTCCAGCTGGTTTTTCACAAAAGCACAACTCTATGACAGGTTAGGGTATGATATAGTAATTAACACTATTACAATCATTTATTTGTGCTACAATTCCCTGTAAGTTAAACATTAATCAGGCAAATAAGAGACCTTTATTTTAGGGGAATCTAGCTCAAATTTTATGGCATACAAGATCCAACTAACATTCCCTATGAGGACTATACATTTGCACTTTGAGCAATGATTTCAAAATACATTATTTAAAAAATAAGTTTTAACCCAAGTGAATAAAAAGGAAATATAAAACAAGCAAAAAATTTTAGAGAAAAGGACACTTAACTTCCAGTATCCACACTGAAGTGACTAAAACTATGTTCCTTATATATTTTATGTATTTATAAAATATATAAAATAAGGGACATAAATGAAATTCAATGTTTTTAATAAAGTTTTACTAGTTATAACTCCTGCTAATGAAAATACAGTTTACAATACAGAAAGAAATTTGTTGCCATATTATTCTCTAGTACAAATTTCATTGAAACCATCTGTCTTCAGGGGAAAACCCTGTAAGGTAAAATTTTTCTATTTTTTCACTGTTAGAAAACTCTGGGAAAAAAGAAAATGAATCAAATTTTATTTTATAAAGGTAAAATTTGATATAAAGTACGTTTTCAAACTAATTTATGGAATATTAACTTTTACTAATCCCTTTGTATACTTTCATTCTGCAATCAGGCTAAATAAAATTAAATGTTTTCATAGTTTCTTTTAGATATAAGTAGTAAATTTTGACACAAACTATGTGCGTGTGCGTGTGCGTGTGTGTGTGTGTGTTTGGTCAATTCTGAAGATGATAAGCATTATGAAACAATACCTGGCTCAATACTTTTAATATATATACAGAGAACAACATTAATGGAGATGTACAATGATTATTCAAACAAGCTATACATATGTACAAAGGCAAGCAGGTAAGAGTCTTTGCAGTCTCACCCTAATAACACATAGTAAGAAAGGATTAAAAGACTTCGAAACCTACAGGACTTTCAACATATAAACTCTTTCTGGAAAGTTATAAGTGGTTTCAAAAGTACAACTTTTATCAGTCATAATACATCTTTGGTTGGTCCATCTCAGTATGCAACTCTAAAAAGCATATCAAGTCTTTTGGGTACAAGGCAGTTTCCAAAGGAACTTGAAAGTATAACTAAAAATAAGAATCTGCCCAATAATGGTATTAAATTGAAAAGCTCTCTGGATTATAAATTGGAATAAGTTCTATCATAGCTTTTAAGCTAGATTCAGATGAACTTAAGAACAGGTAAATAATGAAGCAAACCAATTTAATTTATGGTAATTCTGACCCCAGTGCTTATATACCCATTTTGTGTATGTTTATGAGAGTATGTGCTTATGAATGTGTGTTTACACACACACACACACACACACACACACACACACACACACTGGAACCTATAGTAAAAAAGAAAAATAGTAGGGCAAATAATTGAAAAATTGAGCCCCAAGTATAAACATCCCATATTAATAAAAAAATTTACAAAATAATTTATAGGTAGTAAGTTTTCCCTCCATTTAAAAAAATCATCTTGTTTTCTGGGAAACAAGGATTGAGCAAAGATGGGAAAGCTTTCATGGATTAAAAGGTGAATGTGGATAACAAGCCCATAAAATAATGAGAAAAAAAGGTACTTGTTTTAGGATTTTACATTCAATGAAAATAAACTTTCTGTCAAGCAATGGTCTTGAATGCCTTGCCAATAGATCTAGGGATCTGAGAGAATAGAAATAGGGAGAATTTATACTTACCTTTATATTAGCAATTTTTTTACACTAAATGAAAAGAAAACTATTTTTATAACAGTAACACCCACAGTTAAAACTTGCAGGAGAGTTACTATATAAAATTTCTAGGAATTGAAAGTTTGAACCCCAAATTTCTTTATCTACATATGTTCTTGTTATAAGAAATTACAGAATTGAAACTTAATGCACCTCAATTATATGCACATGCCTAGATTCTTCCTCTTTTGTAAATAAAAGTTGAAAAAATTTTGCAGTTTCTCAACTTCTGTTGATATGGTCTGATTAGTGTCAAAAATAGCAACTATTTTTCACCTTCAGTTTCATTCACTGCCATTTTTCATGTCAACCTCTTCTAGTAATTATTAATCTAAGACAGTGTTATTTATCAAAAGCCTAGAGACCAGTGAATCATATATTCAAACAGAAATGCCTATCTAAAAATTCTCCCTACTGTCATTGACAACTATGTATTGAATATCCTGAATCATTCTACACCTCTAGAAAGAACATAATGATCTATTGAAGAGCTAGTATGAAACCAGTGGGAAATAGAAAAGGAACTTTTAAGAGCAAGAGGAAATTATGTACAAATACTTTATATTTGAGAATCTTTACAGCTTACATTTCTATTCCATTATTACAACTCGTGAAAAAAATTTGCAAGTAGCATGCAAATTATAAATACAGTCTTCCCACTTCACTAGCCAAATTCCTACTTTCCAGTGTTTTGCAGGAATCTGTTTACAAAGCTGATTAGAAAATTGTTTATAGTTTAAAATATCTCTTTCTCATTTTAGGAGAAGCCAAACGGCCAACCATCAAAATTTAAAATAAATTGAATTGTCACAGTCAATTGTAGTTACTGTTACTAGGTCCACTTCATTTGCTGGTGTTCAAAATATAAAACAAATAATTCATTATCTTCAAATTAATCTGTTCTTAAAATGCTACTTAAAACTTTGGTTGTTTTCCTGTAACAAAAAAGAAAGGATTGATTTAGCAATTAGATTAGTTAAATTCAGTTTTTACAAATTACTTCTCAAAACAAATACTGTGAATCTGCTTAGTGTTTACACATCTAAATGCATGTTACTATAGGAACTATTAAAGTGGAATTGTCAAGAGTTCTTCTGTGTCAGTAAACTTATGTAATTCATTTTTAAATATATTAAAGTGTGTTTCAAACCTGTTGTTCCATTTTTGTGGTACATAGTTTTATGCATGTTATTAATGCATAAAGCAAAAGTAAACAATTCTAATGTATGTTTGTTCTAAATAAAGTGCATGTCAAACATTTATTTACAAAATAAAGTGTCATAAACTAGAAAATGTAAACATAAATGTGACATTTTATATAGTATGAACGTTTATATTCTCACAGACCAAGGATTATGTATCCCTAAAATCTCTGAACAGGTAAGAAAATTCAAGTATAATCACGTACCTTTTTCTTCATTAAATATTACTTTGTGAGTGGTATTATGAAAACATTGCAATTCTTAATTAATTTAAAAAAAACTGGCTAGGGATATCTAAGTGAGTTTACATTATGAAATACTAATATGTTATAACACTATGAAATACTAATGTAACAACATAGAGTTTTTAAAAATTGTAATTAAGGAAATAAATCCTACAAATTTCCAAGGGTTAATATCTCCAAAATGGAGATAGTATTCTGTATCTCACTGATCCATTTTTAGCATTCTGAGTCTCATCTCAACACAATCCTGGTTACCTTTGCCTACATAAAATGTTTATTAAAACTCTTAAGGTAAAATTCTAGCCAAATGTTAAGACAGAGCATAAAGGATATGTCATTTAGTGAGAGCAACATAAGAGATTGATATCATTCTATGCACTCTCATATGTTATTGTATTTAATCTTGAGCACCAGAGGTTATCATTTTTATCTGTAATTGCAAAACTTTGACTTAAGAAAGGTTAACTAACTGACTTGCCCACTTCTGAACTACCAGTACACAAAGTCGTTACAATTAGAACCCAAATCTGAAGCCAAAACCCATGTGCTTTCCCATAAACATCCCACAAGACATATATTTATTGTGTATATTTACCTGGATGGAATTTGATGGGGAGACACAGAAATATAAAGAGCTCAGCATAGCAAAGATAAATTTAAGAAAAATAACAAAGATGACTTGTTTAGCTGTTTTAAAACTAAACAAATTGAATAGAGAAGCCATTAACAGACTATATATTTCTTGAGAGATTTCAGAGAACCATTCTTTCAATAAATATTACTAGAATAACTGGATATACCTATAGAAAATATAAAACTTGATCTCTACCTTGTATGATACAGTAAAATAAATTCCAGGTGGATTACAGAAATTAATTGAAAAACAAAACAGAACTTTTGCAATACTGGATGATATTTTTATGACTTCTCAATAGAAAAATACTTCATAACTAAAATATAACTTCTGGGGCTGGGGATTTAGCTCAGCAGCACAGAACCTGGCTGGCAAGCACAAGGTCGTGAGTTTGATTCCCGGTACCGGATAAAAAACAAAAAAATTTAAAAAATAAAATATAACTTCCACTGTATTTCTTGCATAGAGTAATAATTATTTCACAATAACTAGTTTCACTGCACATTTGGATTTTTGTGGTTTTCTGGATTACTAATATTTTACAATAAGAAAAATTAAGAATCTACAAGTAGAATAAAACATGTTAAAGATAAATAATTGGAATACAATATTACAATACAAAATCCAAAAACTACTTACTAGTGTTTGAAGTACAATGGGATGATCAGGCAGAAAGTCTGGTTTTTTTCTGCAGATGGAAACACTTGAGAGTTTCAACAGGAAATCTCTGCTGTATTTAATTCTCTCTGTAGATATTAAACATTACATATAATGTTATGAAACATACAATTCAGCAAGGTAGGGTGTTGCACTCCTGTAATGCCAGCATTCTAGAAGGCTAAAGGCAGGAGGATCCAAGTTTGAGCTCAGCCTGGGCAATTCAGCAACTTAGTTAGACCCTGTCTCAAAAAATAAAGGGCTGAGGATATAGCTCAGAACAAAGGCCTTGAGTTCAATCAATTAATTAATTAAAGCTCAAGAAACCATGCTGGATCGCATTTTGGCTCACTTTTACTGGAAGTCACTGAAATATCCACTATTTCTCAAATAATTAGTAGAGCACATGCAAAAGAAAAGAAGGAAAAGACTTTAGAAAACATCTACGACCTTTAATTTTCCATTTACATGGAAAGGAAGCACAGGTGTTTAAAGAAAAATGCAAGAAAGCATTGGTTATTTTTTTTTTTTTTTGGTTCCAGGAATCGAACTCATGACCTCACATTTGCCAGGCAGGTGCTGTGCTGCTAAACTATATCCCTGGCCTGCGAAAGAACTGTTTTGATGAAACTGATAATGCAGGACTTTTTTTGACTGATTATTATTCAGGTCTAGTAAAATGATTTTGTATTATAAAGTATAAGAACAGTAACATCTACCGGTCAATTCAGGACTTGCCAAAATGAAACTTTGGTGAGTCTACTACCTAACCTCAGTAAATACTAAAAATTAATATAATCAAAACAATTTCAATTCAAGAACCACTTATTATATATCTACTGTGTGTTGAAGACTATACTACATAAAGGCAAAACAAGATCCAAGCCAGAGCTCCTATATTCAAGTGGAACAATGATTCAGATACAGTACCTGCTGACTTTTCATCAGAAATGACAGCCAAAAAGTATTACAATATTTTTAAAGTATACTGGAGTAATATTTTTGAAAGAAAAGAATTGGTACTGAGGGTATATCTCAGTCGTATATTTGCCTAGCATGCATAAGGCCTTGGATTTTATTCACAGTACTTCCAAAACAAGTAAAAAGTAAAAAATATTAAATGAGAACCCAAAATCCCATATCCAGAGTATAGGGGTGGAAGATCCGGTTAAAATGCACATAAAGATATATACAGATGAAGGGAAGCCGAAAAAAGTAACCACATATAAATGAAAGTGTGACTCTATTTCAACAAAATTTTATTTACAAAAATAGTCATTTGGCTTTCCAGCTGTAGTTTCCTGGCCCTTATATTAAATATTATAGTAAAGGTTACAAACTGACAGAGTGGATTTAAAAGGAGGACTTTTATTATATGATGTTCACTAGGGATATACATTAACTATAAAGACACAGGTTGAAAGTCAATGTATGTAAAAAGATGTACTGTGCAAAGAAGTAATAATAAGGTTGTAGTGACTATCTTATTTTCAGACAGAGGAAACTATCAATGTTCTGGGTCCAATAACCAAGTTTTGAAATATGGAAAGCAAAATTTAACAGAAATAAAAAGGGAACTAGACATTTCCACAATAAACAGCATGTAATGTAAAAACCTCTTATTCAGCTGTTGGTAGAATTAGACACAAAAAAGTAAAAAGATAAATTTGCACAGTATTAGCAACCACTTTGATTTACCTAACATTTACAGAAGCTATATTGAAAACTGAAAAATGCATTGTTCTTTTCAAGTACTGTACAGTCAATAGATTAGACTATAAAACAAGCCTCAATAAATTTAAGAAGTTTAAAATAACACAGATTGTATTCTCTGACAAAATTAAATTAGAAATCCATGATAAAAATTTTAAAAGTATATTGGAAATTTCAAAAATTCTGTAAGATAAAATAATCAGTAAATTAAAAAATATTTCAAACTGTATGACAGTCAAATACAATGTGTTAAAATTTATGGATTACAGCTAATACCCAGCTTCTTCAAGGGAAACAAATTCTTATTGTAAGAGTCATAGTCCATTTGTGTTGTTATAACTGAATACCTGATATTGGGGAGAATAGAAAGAAAACAGGTTTTTTGGGTCAATAATTCTGGTGGCTGGAAAGTCTAATAGCATAGCACCTGGCAAAGGCTCCCTGGCTGCACCATAACATGGCAGGTGGCATCACATGGCAGGAAATCAGCATGAGAAGGTCTCAGGGGAATTTCCAGGCTCACTTTAACCACCTTTCTTCTTAACTTCTAATCTAGTACCCATGAATTAGAACTCTAAAGGGACAGCAGTAATCCGTTTTTAAAGACCTAGTCACCTTTTTTAAAGGCCACGTCACTTCAGATAGCATTATCCTGGTGAATTAAGCCTGAACATGAGTTTTGAGAGGGACAAAGCACTTTGGGGCCACTTGTTAGGCTATAAAACAAACTAAATACATTTAAAAAGATTAAAATCATATA